AAAAAATCCCTATGGTCCAACTCTCGTCCTTTAATTCTCATTGACTCTCTTCCCCATTGCAGGTCCGTAGCCAGAAAAACATTATGACTAAGGCAATGTCCACGGTTAAATTTTCTTCTTAGGTATTTACGGTGTTTTTGATAAATATAAACAACAAAAACAACAACAAAAAAAAAACAAAAAAAAAGGTCTGAGGGAAGTACCTCGGTTTACCTCTTACTAGCTACGGCCCTGCGTTGGATCCTTCCTTTTACATAGAGTAAATACCCGCTATAAGAACCTAAAATTTAAGGACCTGTTAGGCTAAAATTTACCTGTTAAGCATCCTTTACATAAGAACCATTCTAGGCTAAAATCTCAATAAAGGTTCGTATTTTCAAAATATAGAGGTGTTTTTTTCAAATACAGTACAGAACATCACATGCGATACAACAAAAGGGTAACAAAAACTAGCCAGAGCACTGGCAGTGGTATAGGACCACAATACTGTACTGTGAATGATTCAATATAAAGGCCACACCCCTGAGTACAAGTTAAAAATAATATAATAAATTTCACTGTTAACACCATTTATATGAGAACCTATGGAGGCTAGCCTGAAAAAAGCCGAGGTTGTTATACACGGGTTTTTATTGTATTGTAATTACGCAAAATATTGTTGTTCTAGATTTAACGTAAATATCTGTAGAAAGTCTAAAATTTACTAAATAGTTCCCTCCTTTGCAGCAGTTTCGTTCATTAAAAGTTCTGAGCTTAAAATATTGATTAGTAACTAGCTAGCAAACTCTGTAATGATCAAAGCTAGTACTGGACGCATGACCAAGTAACAAAATCCCTGTACTGCGGGTTCTCATTTTATTTCCTATTTTTTTGGCGTAAAACTAGGACGTACAGGCTAATTATCAAATCCTTTTATTTGACGAAAATTGAGTTTAACTGCTTTTTGTTCCAATAAAAATTCCGCATAAAAAGAAAAAAACGTGACATTCCCCATACTGAATGTGTGACGTTATGCGTTGTTATTATTATAGGACTTAAAACACAATTTGCGTCACTTACTCAGGTTTCAAAACATGGAGAAGGTCGCATGGAAACAAAAATAATAAAGGTCTATTGTCCAGACGTTCTATTTCTTAAAACTCTCTATTGCATTAGCCCTTTGTTATTATCCAGACGTATTTTAAATTGAAACTACTCACTCGGTGAGGAAATCGTTTCACCTCCATGTTGAATATAACAAGTACTCGAAAATTAAAACCTTATACACTGGTCAGCAGATTCAGAAAAAGTCTGACAGGAAGAGAAGGAAGGAAGGAGTGAAGGAAGAATTGAGTGAATGTACTTGTGGAATCCAGATCTCTCACTGACAGGATTCTTGGAATTGGACTCGCTGGATTTCCTGATTACTCAGAACGGAAACTAGCCTGAACAGGTTCGAAAACGTTTGTTTCTTTCAGATCTAACTGCATCTTATATCAAAATGGCAAAATACGACAGTCAAGGTGTTCCTGCTCTAAGTTTTCATAATCCTGCGGGGATGATTCTTTATCCTGTGGGGCTTTACACTT